AAGTAACTTCCACTTAACATCTGACTGTCGTTTGTTTCTATAGAGGATCATGTGTGTATACATGTATGTGTGTATATATATGTGCATGTGTGTGTGTTTATCTACACAATACATATACAGAGGGGACTATCTGCATATTAAAAAGCAAAGAGATATTATGTCCTAGTACTGACTGTACCATAGCAATCTCTATATTTAGAATGCACACTGTGGAGACACTTCTCCAGCCTAATGGTAGATATTTACTTTTTAATACACAAGCTATGTATAAAATACTGAACTTGAACACCATGACCAGCTACAATAAGAATTATATAAAAACCATGCTATTTTACTTCTGTCTCATTTTACACAGCTCTGAGGAACAGCAGATACCTTCTCCGGTGGGCCACAAAGTATGTGGCTCACCTTTCAAATTTCCATACTGGCATTTATTGTGTTGAGGTTCAAATCCCTTTACAGCTGTGGTCTGAACAACAAAGGGGCACTTAAGGGAATAAGACTACAACTTGCTCTTCTGGGTTACATTAAAATCCATTGATTTCCATCTGTTACTTGTACAAGACAGAGTGCACTTTTCATAAAAATAAAATTGCTCATTTTGGAGAATATATGTTAAATATATTTGATGTTCGTGGTCTGTAAATTAGACAGTTGTTTTTCTTAGTTAATTAAATAATGCAAATAAGAGGAACTCGCTATGCTCAGAAGACCTATTTTCATTCTAAGCAAACTCCCCTTTCATTACATAATTAGAAGCACTACAGAAAGTGCCTCACCTGCAAGTCCACTTGTCCCCTCATTCACTAAAGCCCCTGCAATCAAAAGCACCTGCGTGTGTGCTTTGAGCTCAGCATGTACCCAAATGCTTTTCCAAACAGATGTCAACAGCTAGATCTTTTTACTTTCCAGGCTAGTTTCACAGGAGCAGAGCAGCTGGGATACCCTAGTGGAGATGACCTCACTCACTAGTGTGCACTCTGCTTTGATTAAGAGCTTTTTTTTGCTGCTGTAGATGGAAAATACCTGTCACCAACATTTGACCCTGCTCACATAAAACACAGGAGCATTAAGATACGATTAGTAGCACAACTTCTCCAAGGCTGCATTGAGATGACCTCACCTACACATCTCCTATTGCTTGCTCCTTTACCCGCAGGGTAGGAACACCAAACTTGCCTTGGAGACACTAACCTCAGACTGATGGTCTCTTCAGGACTATATGTCAATTCAAGTTTAGACTATAAATCTCTTCAGTCTTCACTCTAATGGTATCCAAGTCTTCAAAGGCTACCAAAGTGTGTATCAGAGCAGACTGACCAATCTTTAGAGAAAATAAAAGGTGAAGAATTGTTGTTAGGATTTGAAATAGTCTTTGAATAGCAAACTCGATAGGAAAAACGAACTAAGAAGTGCCTGCCTTATACAGTGCCACTACAAGCTGCCACCTGGGAGCCTGCAGAATGGTTAGCCATTTGTCAGTCTGCTCGAATTGTACAAGTGTCTTTGACGTGCACTGGTCGTTATTTAGCTAATATTACTCCTGTGGGAAGAGAAGCAAAGCATCAACTGAAAATTAGGGAAAATATTTGTCATTTTCCTTTAAAATAAGGCAATGGTTGCTGCAGAGAGACAACAAACTCCCGTTTTATCACACACAAGCTAAATCACAGACTAAAATAATTTGATTTTGAAATTGTGGTAAAAGTTTGTAAATTATGGCAACGTCTTTGTAACAGAGTGGCATGGGAACATGTTTTGAGGCAGCTACATGCATGTACCAAGTAAGGATGAGCTTTCTAAAGCCAAATAGGGGATACAATCATACTCAAATTCATGACAACTTGGTGACTAGATTTTCTAACCAGCCTTAAAAGAATTTTCCCCTTTTTTGTGTTCTATTACTAAGTCAAGAGAGTATTATTCAAATTGTAAAGTCGGGCATTGAAGAGTGAGGTAATGTCAACATTAAGGCCCTCTGTTCAACCTTAATTCTGCCCCTTGTGAGTCTGAATTATGATAGTGCCTTTAATTAGATGATCACACAGTACTTTTCCTGTGCCTCATTCATAACACATGATGGATGGTGCTCACTGAATGATGAAACTGTATTTTGTTCTTTTCTTCGTGGTTCAAGGTGTGGAAGCCTGCCTTATTTACTGCACATTATGCTCTTCTCTGACAACAAAACTAATGATTGCTTCGCAGAGTTTTCTATGTGGTTTATCATTACAGCTACAACACAACAAACATTACTAATTTAATTTTATTGTAGTCCTTAAGGGAAAAGCTAGAATTTTTTCACTTAGTTTATCCATCTAGAACCTATTCTCATTGCTCAGCTTTTCATCAAAGCTTTGCTTCCCTCATATTTAGTCTAGACAGCTTTATTTGCATCAGATTTGGAGAGGTATTGAAAATATGTGGGAAGAAAAGTTGGAGTCCCCATTCTAGTATGTGCCTTGGGTAGTCAAGCATGGAGAGGAAAAGCTAGAATTTTTTCACTTAGTTTATCCATCTAGAACCTATTCTCATTGCTCAGCTTTTCATCAAAGCTTTGCTTCCCTCATATTTAGTCTAGACAGCTTTATTTGCATCAGATTTGGAGAGGTATTGAAAATATGTGGGAAGAAAAGTTGGAGTCCCCATTCTAGTATGTGCCTTGGGTAGTCAAGCATGGAGAAGGTCAACAGATATGGTAGGGATTTTGGAAAGGGAAAATCCTGTTCAGCCACAAGATGGATCATTTGCAAAGTTGATGAACAGTCCAGAGAATTACCTGTGCTTTACAGGGAAATAAGGGCTTAGGCTTTTTCCTAAAATTTGGGCAAAGATGAATAGATATTCCCCATAAATTCAGAAATGTTACTAACATAAGTGGTATTCTTATTCCAAAGACTCACTTCCACAGCAAAAGTAGAGAAAAGTTTTCCGGACTTTTCTTCTTTTCATAGACTTGCACTTGGAAATAAATGACTTTTTCTGACAAAACGTTTTCCACCAAAAAAATAGTTCCCCCAAGAGAAATACCTTTCAGGGACAATTTCAGCCAAGATGGTTGAAATTTGGCAAGTTTACAAGTGACTTTTACTTTAGTCATAATTCATCCATCATCTTTCTTAAGAGTGATGGATTGTGTAATCCTAAAGGGAATGAACACAGTCTAGAAGAGTGCTCTCTGGGTACACAGGCCCCCAAGTTATTTATATCATGGTTCATACATCATAGGCTGGATTTAATGCTCTAAAATGTTTTTGACTTTAAATATGATGATTCAAAGCTCACAGGAGGTGGAGAACTTTCTGAGATCTGAGAAGACAAATTGAGTTTGAACCTTCTTGGAATACTATAAATTTCCTTAAACCAAATGAAACCCCCAATATTTTGTGTCACATATATTGCCTTTGGCTAACATTGCCAGCCTCAGGGACTTAACTGAGACCTAAGCTTGGTAGTCTATTTTTTTGAGGTGCTGAATATTCACAAATTCACAGATACAAGAGATGACAACTTTAAGTGTCCCTATGCTGCAGCTCTGAAAGGGAGTCTTCTTTCACTTGGACACTTAACTATGGATTCACCTATGCAGTTCGACCTCTGATACCTCTGTTTTCTCTATATTATTACTACATTTCCAACATTGCATAAAATGACATGGTATTAGAAGAAAAGCAGGTTTTATGCTTTGGCCTTCCTGCCCTAAGCCACAGTTGCTGGGAAGTACAGCCAGATCCCCTACTCCACCACTACTTTCATGTGCTACCACAGTTCCGAAGCAGTAACTTTATGCAGTTCCTAGCTCACTAAACATGACTGAATCCATGCCTTCTTTCCTTTGTGAGTTTTAAAAGCCTGTTGCAAATAACAGACACCTTGCCACCTCCAACCGAGCCCTAGTTATCTGTGGACAGAGCAACCATGCTGCAGTGTTACTGTGCACACATAACACAGGGCTCAGGAACAGCAGAACATAATATCCCTAATGCAGGGCCACATGTCTACAGCAAATTTGCTTCCAAAATCTACTGGTTTTGTGTGTCCTGTCCTCTCCCTCTGTCTGTCCCTCTGTCTGTCTGAGGAGCTCCTTCTTCTCTATCTGGCCAGTTCTTTCCTTAGCTTTGAAATCTATGCAACTCTGATCAACAAGTTAAAAATGGTTGAGGGGACAGACAGACAGACAACGACAGAAATCTTATTTTTGAAGGAAACAAAACAAAAAGCACATTGTTGAACTTGTGCACTGTTTCCTATGATAGTGTGTTTACATACAAGTACGTTTAAAAAACACTGTGGAGGTGTGTCATGAGTTGCATGAGATCAGTTTTCTTCAGAATTATTCCAGAGCAGAAACATGGTTAAATCATATTAAAACTCAGAAATCCCATTACTAAAAAATGACACAATATTATACATATCTGAGGTGCTCTGCATGTGCTAAAATAAAAACATCTAAATACACTACTGAACATATATGTGATATGAATACCAAGATATTTGGATCTCAAAACTACTTTTTAAATAAATAATTTTTTGCTGAAAATTATTCTGTTCTCTTTATTTTAGTGCTAGACAATTTTATTGCATAGTAGAGTTCCTTCTTGATTGTCTGATAATCAAATAGAATCATGTCACTAGTATTTTGCAACTGAACTCCTAACACAAACCTAACACTCCTTGCTTATGTGCCTTCCTGAAGTAAGGCTTAAATGATCTCTCTGGTACAACACTAATAGCTCAGCCCATCTACTGAGAACTTCCAACTTGAAAATCCAGGATCAGGTCTTGTACTAGAAAAAGAAGAAGAAAAATCCTCATGTAGAAATAATATAATCTACAATTGACACTGGAAAACCTAAAAATGTATCATTCAAATGACATCAATCAATCTAGAATTTCAAGAATCAGCATGAAGAAACAGAAATGCAAGGATAATCTGATCTTTATTTAGGCGTATTTAAGAAGATATTCTAACACCACAAGTAAGATTTTACTGGACTGATAAAATTATTAACATCACAAATTTAAGGCAGCTGTTACATAGTGTCACATTAATATTTCAGTCAGACTGAACTGTTCTTTAGATACATTCATGCAATTAACTTTTATGCCATACTTTGAAATATATAGGATTGTTTTGTTTCCCTGTATTAGACCTATCCGGTTAAGCTTTTCTCAAACAATATGGAGAATGGACTCATTGTTCTTCTTGGCAGAAGTAAAAAGATCTAATGACTTTATGATTTAATGACTTACTTGATTCAAGAAATGCACATTGAGAATGTCGTGGAGATAAATATACATCTTATATGTGTATGTCACATGCAAGCATGGAGAAAAAGAAATGGAGGTTGAAACATGATTATTATTCTTAGCTAAAATCATTTTCCCTCCACATAAAATCCAAAAATATCCTGGCACTGAGCAGAGGGACAATTAAACCTCCTCCTTTCCAAAAGACTCCTCTCCATGCCAACCTCTGTTGGGGATGAGAAATCTTCCATGGAGCTATAAACAATCCTCCATGTTGCCTCTTATGGTTCATTCCAACTTCGGCTTTTCTTTTCCTTCTTCAATACCTGAAAACATAGGGAGAGAAGCTTTTCAAAATCTCTCAATGAATAAAAATGAAGCATTTACTTAGAAAGGTTCTTCTAATGCATTAATCTTTCTTTTCCCTTTATTAATGTTGTTTCTCCCATACTTGCTCACATGCTCTTGCATGTGTTACTTTACCTGCTGTGAATGAAAAGAGCATCTGCACACCTGATGGCAGTGGTTGTCCAGCAATGAAGAGCACAATCCTCCTTCCCTCCTTCCCATTTTCAAATCAGCCTAACCCCCTGCTGCACACTCAGCCTTTGACAGCTGCAGGGGGCTGGGAACAGTTAGTTCCCTCACCTCCTCTGCTTACCTACGAGCAAATTAAAGTAGATGTTACCATAGCTTGAAGCTAAGCAGCCAGTTTTATCTGAAAGCAAGTTTTAATAATTGTGTTTCAGAATTCACTAACTTTAAGCCCCCTCCATTTCAACACTGGATTTCAAAGTATTTGCAAGTACATCTCCCTTTTTTGAGAGTACAAGAATGGAGAAACAATTACTGCTGAGAGGGTGCCTCTCTCTACTTGTAATGGCCATGTCTTCCAGTAATATCAGGAGGGCTGAGTCCAGTGTAAGGCTCCTTAAAGAACTTATCCAAGCTGCAGGACTTGTCTCCTTCCTATGTTGAGCAAAGTCTGGGCCGGACAGCAGATTGTGTTTTTTCTGGCAATGAAAACATTCAGCTATTTCATATGCCTGTTCCTGGACAATGAATTACTATTGGTATCTGACAAAAGTATTGTTCTTCTGACTAAGCCCTCTCTGCCAGACATCTCAAATACAAATATTTCTTTTGGAGACTTTCAGGCCTGCTGCATGCTGGAAAAGAAGGACTTCTGAGGACTGAAGGCAAAAGAGAAGCAATGTTTGAGAATGCTGAGAGGAAAATCCAGTCACAAGTAAGATCACTTGCTAATGCAATATATGCATAGGTGATAGCTACACTGAAAATCACGTTCAAAACATAGTCAATTAATTCCAGTATGGGGAACAATAAGACCCATCTGCAGTTAGAAAATAAAAATGCAGAGCTGTATTGCTGAAAGAAACAACAGGGAAACAAATGGATCTGCGTGTTGCCAGCAGCCCAAGTACAATGGCCCAGGGTGTTGCTGGCAAACCAGTGTAACGGGAGAGCCACAGTTGAAGGTTTAACAACCAAAACAAGAGGCTGGGTCCAAAAGATTACAGTAAATCTACAAGGCTGCTCCAGAGCCAATCTTGAGTCTTCTGCTTTCTGCTGGAAGAAACTTTTCCAATAGTTTTAAAAGCTGTTTTATTTGCCTTTTTGAAAGTGCCTCTTTCCTTTCTTCTGAAGCACTTTACTGCACATGCATCAAATAGTTTGGCAAGAATGCAGATACCCTCAAAACTGTGGACAGACACTGGCTTGTACAAAGGGCAAATTTTTCCTTCCCTAACATGTTTGTGGTTTAACTTGGAAAAACTAACTGCAAATCATTTTGTCAGTAGTGAGGTTTTATTTAATGCATCTCCAGAGGAAAATAAAAAAACTCCAAACCCAAAACAACCCCTTCTCACCCCAGAAATCTTCTCATGGCAGACTGTTTTGAATTGCAGGTTTGCTGCTCAAAAGCCCCTTTTAAATATGCAGTTTTCAAACAATATTTTCCCAAATGTTGCATGGTGAAAGACTGGCATCTCTTTACATCTCTGCCGTTTGTGGTGTGCCTGCCATATGCTTCAGGTTAGGTTTGCGCAAAGTGTTTCAAGCATAGCAAACCAGCAGGTGACTCAGGACATTTTCCACTTTGCAAGTGTTTGCACCACAAAGGACTTCAGATCAACATTCCTTATCCAAATGAAGGAAATTATGGGAGGGGAGCGTAAGGCCATGGTGAATCTTGGAAGAGGTTGGAAGAATGACCCAGTTGATGTTAGCTCTGCTAGGGTGGCAGGCCACAAGAACCAGGGATTTTGTTATGCATACTTTGGAATAGTGCAGGAGGTTTTCCACCTTCTACTTATTCATGGACTTGCTAAGAACATGTGACTCTTTACCACATTATTATTCTTCATACAGTACTTAGATCAAGTGAAATTATTCCTTGCACCTGCCTTTTTTAGAAACATCTATCCTGAATTAAATTAAATAAGTTCAGTAAATGAGAATGCCAGTCTTGAACACTGTGACCAATGATCGCCGATTCTAGAGCAAAACTAAACAGACACTTTACACCCAGGTGCTAATACGAGCAAATGGCAAGTAAAATTGCTTTGAGCTTCTGGCACTAGATTCTACCTGGTATTGAAAGACTTGTTAAAAGAGATTTGTGTGTGCAATAAAATACCATGTGAATTTATTTTGCTTCAGTTGTGATTTGCCACAGTGGTGATTATGAATGTTTGCTTATTTCAGGCAATTCGATAACTGAAAAACATCTTTCATAGACTAAAGGAACATACTTTTAATCTTATGTTTGTCTTATTTTCCCTTTTCCTCTCCTCACCAATGGGTGGCCTAGGCAGGATAGATAATGTAGAGTCTGCACAGTTAAGTTTACCCTGCACTAAGGTGCTCTTTCATTTCTATTATTTTACTGACACGAACATGCTCATTTTCCATGAGCAAATTTATAAGCAGAAAACGCCTTATGCCTGAAAATACTTAAAGAGTATATTTTTATTCTAAGTCTAAGCTTACCATTAATGGCATTTGTACAGAATGATATTTTGTTCTAGATGCATTTAATGGGTTCATCAGCTAACAAGTGGGTTGTAAACTTCTCAGGTAATTGCCAAGAGCTCTTAAATTAGTATTGTAAGTTATAAAAAAGAATACATATTCATAGTTAATCAGGCTCTGCAGCAGCCACTCTGTTCACCTGGCTGCTTTTCAGAGCAAGCAAGCAAGATGTTTCAATGGGACTTCTGTCATACTCTTTTGTTTTAGCCAGCATAAAACCTTCCCAAATTTCAGAGAAACATACTCAAGTCCTGATGGTTTATTTTCTGCAAAAATAGTCCTAAAACAATACTCACATTTTTGCGTATCCCAGATGTAGTTGTTCAGGACCTCTCCCACCAAGTAGAACATGTTAATTATTATGGTAACGGCTGCAAAAAAGATTATTTTGACTCCTGGGCTGAGGTGCTCAAGAAGTGGGTACACCCACACTCCTGTAACATGGTGAATCCAGCACACCCTGAAACAAAACAAAAATAACAAGCACTGACTCTTACAGTGCTGTTTTTCAAAAGCAGCTTGGGCTATAGGCTTAGCTACTGTAACCCAAAAAGCAGTTATTCAAAAGGACTGCAAGTTGCAACTGAACTGGAGCATCTGGATGACATCCATCAAGAACAGACACCACAAATGATGAAACTCTGACTGATTTCCCACATTCTTGCTGCTTTGCTTTAAATTTGAGTGGTTGGCCAGTTTTGATGTCTGATGTATGCAGGTATTTCCTTGCTGCATTTGTATTTACAAGGAGACCCCTGTTTCATGCCAAAGCTGGAAACTGCAGCAGCCTCTGTTCCAAGCAGGTTCTTTATCCTAAGAGCACTGAGGGTTCTACAGGCTGTCCTACAAAAAACAACTTTGCTTTCTGCAGCAGCCTACTTTCATGCCATACACATTTCTGTGTTTCTGCTGCTCCTTGCTACACGTGGCAAATGCATCAGTTTTGGGGGTTGCCAGAAACATATGGTTCGGCTTCTCTTCGAGAGAGTAATTTCTTCAGCACCTGTGTTTTAGGTTGCTCCTCCTTTTCTTTCAGTTACCTGGTATCATTTGGGATCAAATCATTTTTCTCTAGGTAAGATAAACACTTTTTGAAAAAAACCCAAACAAATGCCCACCTCAAAAGTGGTGCCCAGCTCCACAATCCATATACAGTAAAGGAAAAGGATTGATGGTGATTTGCTGGTGACACAGACATTTTTAGCATACAGCTACAGAGGGGATTGTTGGTACAGAGACAGGGTGTCAGCTTAACTGCAGTGCAGCCTGAAGAAATACTCCAGGTATGTGGTTTCGCTGTGTGACTGCAGTGAACACCTGTACCCTTCAAAGGGACAGCTTTTGTGGTGAGATCCAACATGGTGAGTGGTGAAGTCTGAGGGAGCAGAGCAAGTCAATACAATCCAGTAGGTGGAAGTTAAGAAAGGCAAATGCTGACAAACAAATGAGCAAACATCATGGAGGCTAACTGGGGAACATGCTCAGTGGAGACAGGCTGTGGCTCTGCTGGGCTCTCTTCTTCTTCCTTTCTGACAAAGAAATTTGAGAGAGAAGCTCACAGTGAAGCACAGCTACAACAGCTGCACAGGCTGGGGGATTTCCATGTCCACATGATTTGCTTCACTTGCTGATATTTCTGTTTGTTTAAGGAAGATTTCTGATCACTAGATCAACAGTCATAGACTTCTAAAGGGCAAAGACACAGAAGTCTACACAATGGTTAACCATAAAACTCTGTTGCACAGAGGGTATGGAATCCCTGTGTTTAGTGATTCTCCATCACCCTGGAAATGTACATGGTTGTCATAGCTTCCCTCCTCCTTGAAAAAGCTTTTATTACAGCCAAGTCCTTAAGACTTGGACACTTCACATAGGAAATTACATGTGTCAGTAAATTAATCTGCACTATCTAAATGCAGATTAAAACCCCTTTCTCTGAATCAGTTCACACATGGAGAATGATCTTTGTACTTTACAGCTATTTCCCCCAACATTCTTGTGTGATAGAATTAACCTGACAAACTAAACTTATCTACAAAAAAAAAAAAGGTTTTCTGTGTAACCCATGGTAACAGGGGATACCGTGTTCCATTTGATCAAAGAAAAAGATGAGACAGTTGGGTAGAAGGTAATGGGATGTCCTCTACTACCAGGCTGGCTTAGCGGGAAATGTCTGTTATTGCCTAACAGTTTTCAATTTCATTTGCTTTCATTTTATGATCATTTTGTGAAAAACAAGCTCCAAGGGAAAAGACTGCAAGAGACAGTCTTCTTTTTCACTTATTTTTTCTGGTGTGATGAAATTGCCCAGCACTATAAAGCACCTTTATACGAAGGACTTTTTCAAGGCACCTTCTAAACTGCATCTATGTAGCCAACTTCACGAACCAAGTACAAGTGGCATTTACTAGAATGCACTTATGCTGGAAAGAGAAAATATTTTCTAAGTCCAGCCAATGAGTCACTGATGAGCTCCAGCATGTCAACAATCTCTGGTTAGTTCAGAGTGTTTGACTCCAGCACTCTGCTCCCTGCTGCCCAGGACAGGAGCCCATTCACTGCATGCTGATAATGCTGTGTACAGTGTAGCTGTTGTATGCCTGTCCCAGTGTGGTCACACCACAGGAACTCATGCTTAGTGCACAAGAGGTACTGAGCACCACTTACAAGACAACAGTCACAAACTCACCTCATCAGCCACCTGATCTTTCTTAAAATGAGCTGTACCATGCTACTCACTACATTGGGATGGAGTAATATTAGCCTTCTCTCCACTGAGCAGTGACACACTGACTTCACCTGCATTGTCTACACTACAAATGGGATCAGGAAAGGGACAACTGCTGCCATGGAAACCTCACCTGATGGCCTTCCTTAGTGGGTTCATTCCTTCTAGATTACAAGTTACCTTGACACTGCACAATAAAGGGCTGACCTGCCATTCGCATTAAGCTTCCACACAAGATTGCTGATTACTAATGTGAATGAGTGCCTTCAACATTGCAATTCTAGTAGTCATTACTCCTGTCCAACCTCATTATTAGCTAAGCACAGGGATGAATGCATTAAGATTTACTTAGGAGTGCAAATTTGCATCCAATTTAAGACTTTATTATTGAACAGGTATAAAAAAATGGGTCATTTAGATAAAAATAAATGGAGGAGAAAAAGTTTAAGCTAAAACTGGACTGGCTCCTTTTGAGAAGATAAAACTAACATGAACCTCCCTGTGATTTGGTACCGTGGCAGCCCATGTAGACATAACTGTATGCTACAGGTCATTGAGCTCATTAGTAATTTGTTAGAAACAGTAAAAACCAATGGAAATATTCACACATTGTATTCAAATTAAAATATCTGTTAAAAAAAGTGGTGAATTTCAGAAATTTTCAACCAGTTCATGTAGAAATCAGAAAAAGCTATTTGAAAACACACAATAGTTCTCCTTTTTAACAAATCTGACCAAAAATGTGACTTTGTAGCAGATGTTGCATATCTCTCCTATCAAAGTAATCAGAAGAAAATGAAAACTATGCAGAGAACATACACATATGTTTATTTTTTGGCTATAGATCTTTTGTTAATGAGGAAAACTAAGTAAAAAAATTGTTGGAACCTTGTGGTTTATGTACTCTACCTGTTGCTTTGAGTAATGCAGCTGTTACAACAGCATGTGCGAAGAGTTAGTCCTGATAGAATGAAGCTGAACACGTGGCTGTAACGGCAGATAACAATGACATCCAAAAGATTTTGCAATGGGAGACATTGCAGAAAACAGCTGCTCCTTTATGATGGCTGCTCTCGGCTACAGGAGTTTGAATACATTTGCACAAGCATCACAGCTCAGTCACACTTTGCAGCCTGAGAGAGTCTCCTCCCATTTCCTCCCAAGCTGAGTCCTCCATCATAACCTGCAGCTACCAACAATCAGTACCAAGTGTTCTGGAAACAGGGACTATTAGATGAGGGGCTATGTAACTTTTCAAGAGCAGCAAATGAGAGGACACAGAATCATAATGCATAACACAAAATGGCTAAAGAACTGACAGTTCTCTTCCTTGTAACAGAAGAAGCACCTCAAAAGAATAGAGAGACAAGAAATTAAAATCTGATAATGGAAATATCTTTCTGAATGATACCTAACTAACCTCTGGAATGCTCTACCCTATCTTCAAGTGATACATCACTGAAATAAAGATATTCAAAAAAGCTGTGAAGTATACAAGCCTGGAAGTCTACTTAATCCATTCCTCTGGGCCATATCATTCAACTCTAGTAAGCTTCTGAAGTCAGGAGACTGTACAAGCAATAGGAATGTGTACAGTTATGCCTAAGAAGGTATAAAACCCATCAAGACTAAAGGATCTAAGCATGTACTTTTTGACATAGGTTTTGGAAGAAAACTTCCTTTGTGAGTTGGTTGCTCCAAAATGGCCTGCTATATCTTCTCCTGAAGCATCTGACATTAGCTATAGCTGGAGCCTGGACACACGTCTACTCTGATACACTATGGCAGTTCCTTTCTGGTTACTTCTTGCAGCAGCAAATCCTTTCCCACATCTTCAGTGCTCTTCATATTTCCAAGGACTGACAGAAAGGAAGGCTGAATCTTTCGTCGCAGACAAATCCTATACTAGTTCCCATTGTGGCTACTCTTTACCTAACAACAGAACATGGGCATTTTCCAGGCTTTTATTTCATGATCTTTTCTAGCATCACTCTTTTCCTTTTCTACAAGATGTGAGAAGTTCACACAGAGCTTTTAAACAGTGGAATGTCTTCCAAAGGAGGTGACAGGTTTACAGAAGCTGAGTCATTCAAAACTGTTTGAACAAACAAATCATTTGTGGTTATCGAGTAGGGACCACTCTGTGCTTTCAGTGACAAGAGCACAATCACCCACACTAAATCAGTTCTTTTGGTTTCTAATCACAATCACCCACACTAAATCAGTTCTTCTTTTGGTTTCTAACACTCATTGAGGTGAGGCACATTTTCATAAATCCTTGATTCCCACCACCAAAAAAAACCCTACAGAAACACAGGACATTTTTCTGCATCTAATCAGAATTGATAGGATCTAGGTGATTAAGATGCTGAGCTTCTTATAATAACAGCCAGCCAGGCCTAAGTCACATACACTAGGAATGCACAATGTTTAGAAATTTTAAAGACTAAAAACTAAGTTCAATAAACAGTCATCATTTAGGAATTAACAGGAATCACCCTCTTCTGCTCCCTTTTCTTAATGCTGGATTCTTCTCCATTGATCTGAGTGCTGCTGAATAACACACAGATCATAGGACTGTACTACAGTTACGGAGGGGCTTATGCAATCAGAAGAAGTCAAGTCCTGGAAAATTGCAGCTGCAGATAATGTCACATGCAAAACACACTCAGCATGACATGGTGCTGGCATCCTCTGGGATGAACAAATCTTAGCATAAATTTTTTTTTATGTACAGGTAACGAGAATGACAGAAATTCAGCAGATTCACTGCAAAGTGTTGTCATCTCTGGAAGTCCTCTATTCTGATAAATAATTTTTCATTTTATATATAGTAATGGTTGCTATGCCTTCTTGAGCTTTATTTTAAGGAGCTGCAAAAGCAAGTGAGAACGTATTACCCATGCATGTCATCTGTGACTGTACTGTTGCTTTGACTGAAGCACTTGAGGATGTGGAGGTGGAGGAGAGCCAGAAAGTAACAGTCCATAATGGCTATGGCCTAACAGGCTGGTGATCCATACAGCCTTCTCTTGCTGAAAGCACTTCTGCTCTCCCACCCTCCTTCTGGGTCAGGTACAGGGGATGCTAATCTTCTTTTGGCCTACTTCTGCTGCTTCTGTTTCTTCCTACTCTTTCCTGTTCTGAGTAGCTGTGGTTCCAACACTTTTCTGCTCCTCTGCATTGTCTCATCTATCACCCACCTCTACATCA